ACTTGCATCCCCCGGTTCGGTCTCCGACTCCGGGGTGGGACCTCGACCTCGTGCTGGCTAGGCTCGCGCAACTGCCTTTCGAGCCTTTGGTTTCAATCGACCTTCGGCTGTTGTCATGGAAGGTAGCCTTCCTGGTTGCCATCACCTCAGCCCGTCGGCCGTCGGAGCTGGCGGCATTGCGGGTGGACGAACCCTATTTTGTTGTCCACGGAGACAGAGCAGTTCTCCGCACAGATGTGACATTCCTCCCTAAGGTCGTGTCCCCTTTCCATGTCAATGAGGACATTGTTCTTCCCTCCTTGTGTCAATCCCCCTCGACCCCGAGGGAAAAGAGACTTCATATGCTCGATGTGCGGAGAGCATTGCTGTGTTATAGGGACAGGACTGCCCAGTCTCGACGGTCGCAGAGACTTTTTGTTGCATATGCCCCCGATAAGGTGGGCCTGCCGATCACGGTGCAACGTTTGTCGCACTGGATCACCTTGACCATCGAGCTCTGCTATCAACTGGCTCGGCAACAACCACCCTCGGTCGTCCGGGCTCGGTCGACCAGGGCTATGGCGGCTTCGACAGCCTTCCTTAAGGGAATTCCCCTGGACGCTATTTGCAAAGCGGCCATTTGGAAAAATCCCCAGAAATTCGTGTCACATTATAGGTTGAATACCAGGTTTACACCTGACATGGCCTTTGGGAGGGCAGTTCTGGCCTCATACCCGCCTTAAAGTTCTTTGACTGGGTGCGTTATCGGTACCGAGTGTTCCTTCGATACCGTGTGTTATTGTGAATGTTATTTGCCATGTTTAATACTTGAATTTCTCGTTGCTGGGAATAAAGTTGCACCTTTACGCTTGATGCCTTACTGCCTGAGGCACAGGCAGCCATTGCACTATGGCCTAATGGGCTCATCACGGGTATTCTGTGTCATTATCGATGGCTTTGCCTTGCTAATGTGTTGTACTCTTGTTAGCAACTGTTTTTATATTGCTGCCTAATGTGCCCTCATTATAATGAGTGTTTTCAACAATCACTATGTGGTTTATTTCAAGGGTCATAAGTTTACTCAATTGTTGGTCACCCTTGTGTGGCCGGGAGGATCACGTACTCCCATAAGTTTACGCAATGTGCCTTTCTTTGTAAGTGTTTGCAACCTCTTGTTATGCACTATGCCCTTCTTCGGAAGTGATTACAATCTCTTGTTGAGGACTGTTTTTGCACTTAATAAAATTGTTTGGCCCTTGATTTCAATGGTCGGTTTGCTTACTTCCCGCCTCCGGGACCTGAGCTTGCTAGTCTCCACAAGTGTGCATTCGCAGAGACCACGAAGAAAAATGGTAGGTTACATACCTGTGACCATCTTTCTTCGAGTGGTGCTCTGCGAATTCACACTAACCTGCCCAGCCTCCCCTCTAAGCAAACCTCCAATTTCTCGCTACCGTAGCGGCGTAGGAATTGGATCGGTGTGCGCGGGGCGCCCTTTTATCCCCTGCCAGGGCTGGGCAATTTTTTTTCCCCCCCCCCCCCACCCCCCCCTGCCGGGGCTGGGCGGGGTTACCGCCAAAACTTCAAAAGTTTTAAAATGTAGAAGTTTCCGTTGGAGCCCGCGCAGGCGCAGTCTCTCCACAAGTGTGAATTCGCAGAGCACCACTCGAAGAAAGATGGTCACAGGTATGTAACCTACCATTCCTGACCATCTTGGAAGAAGTCGAATCTCATTTTAAAATACAAACTGGTATTTTTATTTGAAACCCCCTCCATCCTGCTGACAAGGAAATGGTCTCATTTTTGCACTCAAGAGAGCAATCAGTGCTTAACTATCTTGTTTACTTCCACTGAATCGAACCCTGCCAAACTGGCTTAGATTGGTATATCTCTCTCCCCACTGTTGCAGTTTCCAGAGGTTGTGTTTGCTTCTGAAAGTCAAAATATGTTTACACTCATCCTATGTGTTGTAAATTCATTATTTTAATATCTTCAGACCATATAATAATTATCAGAAGGTAACAGGGAAATGCCATTTTGCATTTCCTTTTTTGCACATAAGGCACAAGCATCCACTCATAACTTTAAGAACATGGAGCCTTTATAATAAACTCTCAATGGAATAACATGAAGATCATGTTTTGCCCCACCCAGAGATGTCCCCACTCCAGTTGACAGCCCCCAAGTTAGGAATGAGTTGAATATAGGCAAAAGGGCAAAGCAAGGCAAAGCATAATCTACAAAGGGGCAAAGTAAAAGAAAAGCAGGGGGGTTTTTTCAGCAGAAGAAATCTCCAAAGGTTTCCCAGCAAGAGCAGCAGGTTTTCCAGCAGCGGAACCAGTAGTGTCCCCAGGAAAAAAATCTTCTTCAACGACAGTCCTCTTCAACAAGATTTTAAAAAATATACTTGAGACTCATGAATTGGAGAACTGAAATCAGGCAATGATGAAGATTTTCACTTACCTACTTCTTGAGGAAGGATACACACTGGTTGAGATGTAACTGTTCCTAATGAATGCTTAATCTCTATCCACATTGTGTATCCAGAAAGAAGGTAAAAAGGCTGAAAGATACACTCATAAGAATTGTTCCTTTGGGGTTGGCATTCTTTTATCTCTGAATAAGAAGACATGGTCGGAGACTCTGAACAATAGACATCACTCCTTAAAAAAATTAAAGCATTGAGATTATAGTATATGCTTCTAAAGGTTATTACCAACATATGACTAACACTCTCTTATGTTAATGTCTATGACTAATGTTTTCTTATGTTTAAAAGAATATGGGGCACAAGAGCCTGATCATAAAGTTCCACAATTACTAGCATTAAATTCATTTAATTTAGTTTACGAATTTCTGTGTACTCTTCTGAAATGAACTTTAATGATAATATTTCAAAAATAGTTATTTAAAACAATTTAAGAAACCAATATATTTTTTTCAGAGCAATAACAAACATTTTATATATTGGAACAGAATCATTATCCAGTGGAAATTATTTGTTGATTTCAGCAAAGGTTGTTTGTCATGCAGTACGAAGATATGGAAGGTAGTATTGCCCTTATTTCATCTGGCAACTCTAACATTAAATACGAGCCAAGATCCTCCATTGTCAGTCTTAACTATGACAATGGAAAACAATGGTTGTAGTTATGTCTCACAATACTATATCCCCAAACAAATCTTTTCAGTTGGACATTTTCTCACCTGAAGGATTTCCAAGGCATTAGAGTTTGAGTACTGGAAAAGGACATCTGTGTTGCTCTCTTAGTAATGGAGCATATCAAATGACAGGAAGTTGGACAGACCAGTTGAGGTCCTGCTACAGCCACTATTCTCAATCCATCCTAATGGAGCACCTAAGACGTCATTCCTAATCCCCTGAACTGTGGTACCCCAGAAGCCCTACAACTACCACACTACAAGACTGAAATGGCAGATATTAACAATCACATTCAATTGTTATTGACACAAATTCAAACAACTGGATGTCTGATATTCAATTGTAATAGCTTCTTCATAAATTTTTTGAAAGCAATGGCTTTCCTGAATATAAGTTATTAAAATGAATATTTACCTGTAATATCTCAACAACAAGGTGCTCTCTGAAAGCAGTGGGTTTCTGTTGGTGGACCATCTACAAGTCATTTTTTGTAAATTACCATGGGTTTCACATGTTATGCTGATATTAGCATCTATTTGAAAGATAAAATTGATTAATTTAAAAATGGGGGGGCTACAAATATTTATTGTGGTTTACTAAAAATAAATAGAATTTTTACCTATTGTATACAGTTCAGCGTAACGGTGATTGCATTCCTTGTTCTCATCGCAACAGTATAAGGCATTGAAGAGAAATTCCCCTCCAGGCTTCATTGCGCTGAAGTTGACAAGTGTAACTTTGCTAATGTAGTCATTCACAATTGTATACTGACTTCTAGGGATTTCTTTTGCTAAATTCAACCACCAGATTATCTTCCGGGATGAAATTATCCTGTCTTTGTTTTTGTAGATACAGTAAAATGAAACATTTGTTCCAGCACTTGCCAGGATCTTTTGAGGAAAATACATTACATCTATTTTTAAGAAAATACAATAAAAATAACAATTACAAACTTGAAAATCACAACTTTAATATATCCAGTACTCTACATTTTCAACATATAACTTTGCTGGAAATGATTGGGCTTTTGGTTTTTGTATTTTTCAAAAAGGAAAACAGTGTTCTCTTGCTATTCTGTTAATATATTAAATGTATATTTAGCTTTTAAACCAGTGGTCTAAATAACTAAAAACTAAAATGAGAGTGACTGGTCTCGCAAAACCCTGAAATGGTCAAGTGGTCCCTGGACAAAAAAAGGTTGGGAACCACTGTTTTAAGCTAATGTTTAAGTGAATTGTTTATTTTTAATGTAGTAAAAAATAATGGGATTCCTTTTTCATGACATGACTTGTTTCTCTACTCTTCATCAACTGGTTTGTTTCTCTACTCTTTATCAACATCAACAGGCCACTCAGAAATAATTTAGCATTAAACTGCTAGACCAAAAAAACAAAACAAACATATGATCCCCTCCCCCACAAACCTCTTTGCTTGGAATTAAAAATACTGCCAAATTTCAAAGACAATAAAGAGCCACATTTCATTAAGAAAAGTAGGTGCACTGATTTATCTACTTCCATATGTTAGAATGCAACTGGAGTCTTGGGAGGTTTCACTGCTAACTAGTACTGCTATAATGCAAAGGAAATGTAAGGAGGAATAAAGTCCTACAACATTTATACAGCAGAATCAGTCATGTCATCCACAGGAGCTTCAAGGTAATTAAGATATCCTCAATGGTCAGGCAAACGAACAAAACGGATCAGCATGTAGGAAATCAGAAAATGAGGAACATAACCAAGCAGAGATCAGAGACCACTTTCAATTTCTTTGATGTCATTTCAATTTCAGTAGTAATTTAAATGGTAACATTTCTAGTGAACATTATCTGCATTTCTGATTAAAATTAAATGTCTCAGTTGCATGAAGCTCTTCTGTAAAAAATTCAGCATGTTTTACAAGGTGCATATCTATGCTAGGTAAAGGTAAAGATTTCCCCTGATATTAAGTCTAGTCATGTTCAACTCTGGGGGACGGCGCTCATCTCCATTTCTAAGCTGAAGAGCCAGCGTTGTCCGTAGACACCTCCAAGGTCATGTGGCCAGTACCAATAGGTACTTTCCTTCCCACCAAGGCAGTACCTATTGATCTATTCACATTTGCATGTTTTCAAATTGCTAGGTTGACAGAAGCTGGGCCTAACAGTGGGAGCTCACTCCGCTCTACAGATTTGAACTGCCAACCTTTTGCTCAGCAAGTTTAGCAGCTCAGCAGTTTAACCCTCTGCACCACCGGGGGGGGGGCTATCAAATAGGAAATGCTACTAAGGTCTATAAAAGCTAATCCTTGAGTAGTTGTGATGATCTTAAAAACTGGGTATTATATTACACATTGTTTTTCTCTGAGTGTTTGTTTCATGATACGCTCTACTTCTAATGATGTATTTCATTCTATTGATATAAACTATTCTGCATTTAAAATAGCACCAATAAAGTAATACTGTGGATGAACTCCAAAGAAAGAGGCATCAGGTCATTCAAAAAAAAATATCTGCAAATCCCAAAGCAAAGCTATGTTTAGAAAGTAAACATGTTCAATATAGATAAAGAGCTTTATGGTATGGAAGCAAAATTGATGAGAAGTCCATATATATGTAAGTCACAAATTGGAGAGTAATGAAATGACGGCAAACATCATCATTATTATCTTAAGCTTTCATTCAGATAAAGCCCATCTAGAGAACTCTCTTGTTTGATCACTAATTGACAACATATTACAATGAAGAGTTTCACTGCAGAGATCTAATCTGCCAACTACTGTCTGGTGACTCTTTAATAAAAGAAGCAAACTTCCAGGGCAGTTAGGAAGGACTTCCCACAAAATGGGCTCCCTTATAAAGCAATACATAGCTTGACCAATTTACCTTAAGTATAGAGCTCCCAGTTAAATCAGATCTCAATATAGTAATAATTGAATGCCTAAAATATAATGTCAATTCTATCATTTTGTACTCCTGATTTTAATATCCTACGGTGAATGCAGAACAGTATGTTTGTTACCACTATCTATATTAATGGTTTTACTGTTCTTCTATTGGTTTACCATTCACATTAAGCCAGTGAGCGAATATGTCTCTGCAGGGAAGTAATTGTTCTTCCCAAGGTTGTCATCATCATGATTAGAACATGATATGTGACTACTAAAGCATGGTGGTTGGATGAATATTAATATTTCATCTTACATATTAGAGGGACAGCTATATATTACTACATATGTATTGTTGAAGGCTTTCTTGGTCGGAATCACTGGTTTGTTGTAGGTTTTTCGAGCTATATAGACATGTTCTAGAACATGGTCATACAGCCCAAAAAACCTACAACAACTCTATTACTACATATATTTTTCTCACACTTTGTAAGCACAGGCAGAAATTGTTTCCTGAAATTTACTAGCACAGCCATTTCAGGTTTGAAAGGTGATGGAGTTTGAAAACCTATTGAGTTAGAACAAGTTATAACTCAAATACTACTTTTCAAAATGTTGAGCTATCCCATACTACTGGTTGTTGATGATGGTTTATGTTTTTATTATGTTTTGTAGTTGTATTTTATGGTGTTTTATTTTAATCTCTGTTTGACTGGGCTTGGTCCCCATGTAAGCGGAATTTTAAAAAAGTTGTTGTTATTTATTTATTTCTCCAAATTTAACACAAACTCCAGGTCTTGGGAGGGTGAAGCTCAAGTTGCTTAAGTATAATAGAGCAACTGTGAATACAGAGTTTGTTGTAAGTATGCACAGAACTGACCAGAACAGAACAGCAATGTTGAGGGATCAAAATCACTCACCCAATATAGGTTTCTAGGTAGGATTATCACTTATATTATTATTTCGAAGAACAATGAGGGGATACAGAATAAATTTATCATCTTTGTGGGGATGAGGACAAATTGTGTGAGTTCACAGACTAGCCATTTCTTGTTCTTTGTGGGATCACATATGGATACCTCAGAAAGCATTACTCACTGGAGGATAGTAAAAGTATTACTTTGACACTATAGAAAATACCACTTTCCCAAAATTGTTCTCCTGTCTTGCTCTCATATCAAAATTACTGTATGATTTTAATCATTACATTTGGCCCAGCCATATTTTAAATGTTATTGTGTTATTGTTGATGTTTACTGCCAATTTTTGTTTATGAGTTTTATTTTATTGTTTTGAATTACTGTTGTTGTTGTTTTTGCTGATGTATTGTGGGCTCGGCCTCATGTAAGCTGCACTGAGTCCCTTGGGGAGATGGTAGCAGGGTACAAATAAATTATTATTATTATTATTATTAATATTGATTTATGGCTGTTACGCAAATATCCTGAACTCCAGGAGAAGCGATACTTCAGCAAGGAAGATATCAGAAGCTAGATTTGCTGGATTTACTATGGAGACTCGGTGAGTTTGGTTATTTGTCTAGTTGAGCTAATAGTCTGATTGATACTGTAATGTACGGTACTCAGCCAACTAATACTTGGAAATTAGGGCACTGCTCTGTGTGCCTAAATAGATCAAATCATCTAGCAGAGAGCCAGAAAGGTCTAGTACAGTTAATATACTGAAGCCAAAGCTTTCTGAATATCTAGCAACCGGAGTAGCATTTCCAGTGGCAAAGGCAGATTAATCAGGAAAACAGGAAAAACTGTTTGACACAAGACATAAAACAGCAACATGACCGAGACTATGGCTTGTGATGTGATTCCACTTTCAACAAAGTATTTGGATTCATGAGTTCTGACGTAGTTCCTGTAAGTACTGTCTAATCTGACAGAAAATCACTGGAAAAGGCCGAAGTTATTATAAGGTGAAGGGCTTGAAATTTGCTAGTAAAATGCAGTATTTGCCTTTACAATAACAGTTTCATCCACACAACTGAGAAAGTGTAACTGGCCATTGGAGATAACAGCTCATTTCTTAAAGTATTGTCTGAAGAACAGAAATGCCCAGGTACCACAAAGGACACTAATAGCGGATTGGGCACCAGGAGGCAGGGTGGGGGACTGGAGCGATTTTGCTCCTTCCCCCGCCTCCTGGCACATCATTTTTATGTGCCAGGAGGACAGCCAGAGCAACTTAATTGTGGCAAGTTTTTTTTAATTTTAAGGCTAGTTTGGGGGGACTTTGGGGAGAGGATGGGTGCAATCCATGAGCCCAAAAGTGCGGGATGGCAGTGGGGACTGATTCTCAGGAGTATCTGGTAGTCAATCCCCACAGCAGCTTAATGATGGCCCGGTATGTTTTTTTAAATTTTATTTTAAGGCTAGTTGGGGGGGCTTCTAGGTTTCTGGGTGCCCTCCTGGTAGAAAAGCCTGGGTCTTGGGTGGAGGTGTGGGAACAAAACCCACTCTGATATGGGTTTTTAAAACCCACTTTGTTGTGTATTTTTCTCCTGTCTGGAAGTGCCCTGAGAGCAAGGTTAGAGGATGGCATGGAAAAGCAATCTGAGAGAATATACTATGAGAAGAGAATGAGGGGAGGAGCATATTTTAAAAAGGGAAAGGTAAACAAACAGGAAAAATAAGACTTCCGTAGGGAAAAAAAAGAAGTACAAGGGCTCAATGAGTGAGCTGTTGCAGCTGCAAGCAGGCAAAAAGGAACTGCCCAGACACACACAGGGTGAATGAGGGTCACAAAAACACTACACTCAGCTCTGTTTAAAGGTTTCAATCATTCTACAAAGAGACCAAGCAGCCCATGTGTGCGAGTCATTTCTACGAAGAAAATATGTGTCACCATTCGCCAGCAATTACCATTCTCCTCTTTTCCACTCTTGAATGTGATATCTGGTTTGTGAGAATAGGACCAAAAATATAATGCCAAGCTCTGTATTAAAAAAAGTACTTGCAGAACGGAAAGATGGAACATTGTGCTTGCATGAACTCTCTCTCTTTCTGTCCCTGTGACACACACACATGTCTGTTCTCTTTCAGTAAAGGTTGAACATTGTCAAAGAAGATAACCAATTTAATCTTCTCACTGAAACTTCGGTGCACTTCTTAATGTCCAAGTAAGTAGGCAGAAGTCACAAGCTTCCCATTTGGATGAAATAGCCTACCAACAATCACTGCTCATGTGAAACCATACCTAGAATACATACAAGTTAAGTATAGGAAATATCCTGCAAAGAAAGATTATCAGTGATAGTGCAGCAATAGCAAGGACATGTTGGCTACAGAATGTCTAAATCTATGGATTAGCAGGGATGGTACAGAATTCTCACTCTAAGGAAATAAATGAAGGGCTCCATGTTCCAATGTCAGAGTTTAACAGGAAGGAACAGGAGGCCAACTGAAACCCAGCATGCTATACTGGGGACCATTTTAGGTGCATCTAGAATCAATAAGGAAAAATGCCCTTAAATGTATATAACTGCAAAATGCAGAGCCTAAGCTGAAATGGCTTGAATGCTGGACAGTTACTCTAGAGACCAGGATTCAGAGTCCTGCTCAGACACAGAAGTCCACTGGATGACTTGGGAAAATCGCACTCTCTCAGTATCAGATGAGATCAAAGACAATACCTTCCCCTCTGAAAACAAAGAGCTGTTTTACAATGGAATATGCTCCTTCGGAATGTAGTGGAGTTTTTTAAACAGAAGCTGTATGGACATCTGTTGGGAGTGCTTTGTATGTTCCTGCACCTCAGAATGGGGTTGGCCCTGAATGGCCCTTGTGGTCTCTTTCAAATCTGGCATTCTATTATTCTAAATCCTGCCAAGAAAACCCCATGATAAGAGTCACCGTAGAGTAACAATAAGTCAGAAACAACTTGAAGGCACACAACGACAAAGTGCAAAATGACAAACTATTAAAAAGTCTTTTGTGTTGTGTATTTTTCCGTTTCAGCTATGAGCAACTGAATGGGGATCCTGGTATTCTTGGCACACAGCATCATCTGAAAATTCTGAGCACTACAAGTAGCTGCAAAGATATTGATTTATGTATTTTTTAAAGGTTAGAATTCTTTTTTTTCTTCTCACAAACCATTAGGGAACTATTCTGCATTTCAAAAATATTACTAAAAGAATAATGTTATTACAAGCTAAAAATATGATTTTTAATATATGGAGGAATTGCATCTGTAATGATAAAAGAGAAGGGTTTTGTGCCTATCTCCCATATTTTTTACCAGTCTGCATTCTTATTCGTTTCCTCATTTATTTTCCTTTCTCTATCTATATATGCATAGATGTAGGTATTTTAAGATCAGCTCTTCCAAAGTATGTTCCCTCTATGCATTTTTAAAGAGAAAGATAAACATTTTTTGCCTCATGCTCTTTTTACATTTGATTGATTCACACATCAAATCAAAACCCATAATTTTGACCCCAAAACTTGTTATGTCTGGACACAGTAAATTATCGGATGTCTTGTCCCAGAATACTACTGAGTTGCCCTAGAGGATCTAGAAACTCCTAAAGTAGTATTGAATTTTCTAGGTCCTTCAGGGCAGCTCTATAGTAATGTCCAAGGGGAGCACACCATAGGATCCCTGGAAAACTTTCCAAATTTTGAGAGAGAAATTTTAACTCCATGAGCGGATAAGTGAAACCACATATATAGGCAATCCTATTGTCAATAAATACATGATCTTTGAAAATATTCGATCTTGTACACAGACACTTGCATGCATACACTACACCTTATAAACTGGTTTAAGTGTAAGTGGTTCAACAGTAGCAGATTTTCTTTAAGGACCTACCTGGCAGATTCATGCTATAAGGTATGCTCCAATCACTCCAAAGGCCTGATCCATAATGCCTTTTGCACCGCACTTGAACGTAGTACGAAGAATCAAATAGAGCATTGTTAATGATCAATGAAGTTTCCAAGGTAATCTGAACCACCTAATTATTTTTTGAACAACAACAACAAATTAACATTGCTTGTGTGCCACTGAAAATACAAAAGCAGAAGTCAATCTTACATTGAAGCTAAAGCAAGTGAAAAGTGTGGGCATTCAAAGAAATTAGATGGAGGGGGAATAGAGGCAGTACACACACTATTGCCCTCCTCCAATTGCTTCATATCGACAGGGAATGTTTGCAATGAAGAAGTAACTGCATTCAAGTGAACGTGGTAACCACAATCTGCTTAAAAGAGACTACTGATAATGAGGGTTCTTAATTATGCCAGACTATTCATATTTCTTCCCTCTAAAGTTGCTGATGAGGCTGCAACATTAGAGGGAAGGCTGGAAGCACAAGAGAGAGAGCTGAAGAATGAAGCACTCTTTCCCTCCGTACTTTTACCAAATCCAAGCTATGTAATACTCAACTGCAAAAGGGTGAACTCAAGGTATTCACAAAGGGCTCTCCCAGTTTTCATTCCCCATTCAACTCCTTCAGAGCCCACAATATGGTTTTATGAAATGGTGTGCAATGTTTGGTAGGTTATATCTGTGGGAAAGCAGCAATGCTTGGTGGTGAACAGAGATGCAACTTCTAAACATGAGCTGAAATCAAGAGAGGCAATTCTGGGCTGAAATCAAGCCTGAATAAAATGAAAGTTCAAAATTTATTTGTAGGTTCTTCACCAATATGAACAAGTGGTATGTGGTCATAGTTGAGCATTATATTTACCTGACTCTTACTTTGTTAGCACAACTCATGGTATAGGATCCCCATGAATACACACAGTTGCAGTTCAGTAGTACAATTCTGCTAATATTCATTTCCAGAGTTAATATTTTTCACATTAACCCTACTAATTTGACAACTGGACTTCCACAAGTTCTCTTCACTGGATTATGCCTGATATTTCTGTCGATATTAGATACATAAAATATATATCAATCAATCTACATGCAAAATTATGTGACCAATTCTTCCAAGTTAAATTATCATGATTATTTAAACTTACACAAAGGTATACCAAAATGAGAATTTAAAATGCTGCTTAGGCTTACTTACCTGCCAGACATTTTTAGTTGAATTGGCAAAACATTTTATTTCATACTGAAGTGGATATGATTTTGATGCTGGGCTAGACCAAGAGATCTTTAACTGACCTTTGTCTGTCATTTCCATTTTGAGATGTAATGGAGGCTCAGGTTTTACTGTAAAACATGAAAAATCAACCAAAAAAAATTAAGCATACTGGCCATTATCAATTAATGCAACCATGGATCATTAGTTTTCAGTTCCTTTTGTTGGTCTTCTGCAATATATGTATACATTCAACCATGCTGAATTGATCTATTCAGGGATGCAATGTCATTCTATTATTCAGAGTAAGACTAGATCAGCCAACATAGGTCATGGTTCTGATACAAACCTTTTGAGGAATATCATCACATTTCTCAAGTGGTTTGTATCAGCCACATGACTTAGGTTTTCTGGTCTAGTTTTGTATCATACCATATTGCTATAATTGCCGCATACTCACCACAAGAAAGGCAAGACAAAAGTTTAATCCTTTTATACTGAATGTGGTTCTTAGCACCCATACTACAGTGTATTTGTCTTTCTTTTTTCAGTTTCTACCATTTTGAAACATCTATATTTCTTTTTCAAAATAGTTCAACTATTAGCTCAAAACAATCCCACATGCAGGCAGAAAAAAATAATTGTAGTTTGAATAACGTTTAGTGGCAATACTCTAATTAGAAGTTCATGAAATGTAATCTTTACTTTGCCAGGTTTCTGGCCAATGGTTGTAAGTGGACCAACTTAGTTTATCTCAATCAATTAAACAAGCACACCACCATTACCATTATCAGCAGCTGCAGCAGTGTTTCCCCGCTTTTCTATAAAATTCCCAGGGCAGCTTTGAATTTTTTAAAAAATCAAACTACAAGAGTGAAAGTTATTATTTGATATTGATTCTTTCAAAAAGGAGCTTCTACTAATAGCTTTAACAAATTGTCACAACAAGACCTAAAGAGAGATTTTTTTTCTCTACACTTGGCTCCTGATGCTAAATACCCTTCTAGGAACTACTGTTATTGCCAACAGGAGCAGCTTTCTTCCAGAATTCAATATTTATCAAGACTATGATAAAATGGATTAATATAATGAATAGTTTGTCCTTTAGTCACTAAATCCAAAATTGAATAGAAAATTATGCAAGCTTAGTTTCCCCTAGGAAATGTCCTAATCTAATTCAAACTTGAACTGACTAAACTGTGCAGTTCTATGGATATTATCCCACAGGAGGGATGGAAGTGGGAGAAAGTGAGGAAAAGCGTTTGGAAGAATGCAGACTCATCTTACCCCAGCAAGGTCCGTCTTCAGGGATGGCCAGTCCTTTCTCAGTCTTCTTCCCACTTTCCCCCACTACCCCCCTCTTTCTTCAATCAGAACAGAGTATTCTCTCTGTTTTCATATGCTGGCAAGACAGATTCCCATGGGTGGCCACCATACATCATGGGATGGCCTCTGTGAGACTCCATTTTACCAACGTGTGGAAACGGGGAATAAACTTACACGAGATAAGGTCCTTTATGTATCAACACAGATGTAATCCCCATTATGTTCACTGGAATTTACTCCTAGATGGATGTAACTAGATTTAGCCATAAACAATGGACACACAAAAAGCACCATCTAATAAAATTATAAAATTCATAAAACACAATGGACCCTCTGAATAAAACTGGCTGTCTACAATTAACAATCCAAGGTACCGGAGTGAAGCAATCGCTAAGTCCTCAGTTCTGACCATAAATAACAGAAGGTCAAAGGCCTGTCTAAAACAGCATGTTTTTAAACTAGCCCAAAAGACTTAGAGAGTGAGGGCTAATTTAATCTCTCTAGTGAGGGTATTCCAGAGTCAGGGGCCCACCACCAACAAGGCCCTCTCTCTCGTCCCCACCAACTGTGCTTGAGATGGTGGTGGGACCGAGAGAAGAGCCTCCCTGGCAGATCGCAAAGTCAACCTTGTTCATGCAGAAACCTATTTTCCTTTCAACAAAAAGAATTACTTGCATCAAACTTCCCAAGAACTTTCAAATAGTAGATCATGACCTTTTTTTGTAGCAGCAAAATAACAAATCTTTTGGTCTGGAAAGGTATTCTTTTGCATCCATGCACACACTATTGCTGAGTCCCAGGATTCAAAAAGAGCTTCATCGCTTCTGTGACACAACATCCATTTCAAAATAGTTATACAATTGGATGAGATTCAGAGTCTTCTGAACACAGCAAGGATTCTTCATTGCTGCTTTTCACACTCATGGGAAATCTGCTTACAAAAATCACTGGACCTCCACAGAAGGATTCAACAAGATCTGCTGCTGGAAAGCAAAATTAGCAGCTCCTCTCCTGCAAGTGGAATGAACAACTTGTGCCTTGTTTACACAGGCCTTTTTGAAAGCTTCTATTTTTGAAAAATCACGAGACCATACATAGTTGTTTGATATGAAATGAATTCCACCTAGTACCATTTTTAGTGCTACTAGGTAGATTGTGCAGCTCTAAAACAGCAAACCGCTTAATGGCATGATTCAAGAGAATCACTGTGTCATTATTCCTATAATCCCATCATCTTTCAGAAGCTTTAATCTAATTTGTACGGAAATGAAATACGCACTCTAAAAGGTTTCAATTAATTCTAGGAACCATATGTTAAGGAAAAACAGATTATGGAAATGTTCTTTTCATTATGGCAAGAATGTTACAACTGAACAGTTCCAAGGACACCTAAATGCTTATGAATAGCTACTTACTAAGCCAAAATACGGGGGGGGGGGGGGGTACTAAATGCATCCTTCATCTGATTATATAAATATCCATGGGCTGGTAACGTAGCAGAGGTATTCCATTCATCTTTTGAATGCTCCATTTCTAATTTTATAACAAGAAGTATTATAATAACAAAATAATTGATAATACTTTCAAAGTATCTCAAATTTTAGCATCTTATGTATGTATTGCAAAACTTCTTATGATTTTATTAGGGATTATGTTTAGAGTAATTCAAAGACATAATAATAATAATAATAATAATAATAATAATAATAATAATAAGCCTTATTTGTATCCTGCCCCCACTCCCCGAAGGGACTCAGGCTGGTTTACAGCAAGCAAACAAATACAGTAAATAATATAACACAAACAATAAGACATAGATGTGTTAGTATGCAAAATATTTTGAAAGTTTGAAAGTGCTACAAGATCCATTTGCGTACTTAGAGTAAAGTGGATGGGCATTGAGCTTACCCTTTATGTTATTTTGATAAGAATATTTTGTTTTAAAAAAATACTGTTTAACTTATATATTTTCATGAAAAGTTATTATTTATACCCCTATGAATAAAACTAAAAAAAACTTGTAATTCCCTATGCTTAACCTATGTTGACTTGTAAGATATCAATTTCAGTCCAACCTATTATATTTACCGATATTACTAAGAACATAATTGCAAACATTTTGTGATTTTTAATTATTACCCTAAATGAAGGTTATATTTTGATATGTATTTCAAAATCTTATGAGTTTTTAATATATTTCACATTATTCTAGCTTATATGTTTGTTATACTGTATATATATATTATAATGATTCTGTGGTATGGCCAATGAAATGAAACTTACCAATATCGATAGGCTTGACAGACATTAATGGCGATTGTAGCAATGCTATTCCATCTGTGATCCTGAGCCACATAATGTAAGTATGGTTGAGTTTTACTGAAGGTATTTGGCATGCATATTTTTGGTCTCTTATAGAATTGCAGTGAGTAACTGTAAAATTGTCCTTCAGTGAATGTGTAGAAGTTGCTTCCAATGATACATCTGTTCTGAATTGGAAAAGAAAGAAAAAAACTCATCAGGGTTTTTTTAATAGCACGGCTAGAGCATTTTACTAGGCATTGTTTCTGCAAAGATGCATCATTTAAGATAGAAGAGGGGTCACTGAAAATGTCAGAGCTGTCCTTTTACCTGTGCAAAGACAACATGTAACACTTGAGTGAACAGCAAATTTTTTCTTGGAAAATAACAAAATTCTGAGGGGAAAGCTTTTAACATTTAGTCCTTGCTTAGGAGCAATACATAATCATTGAAGGTTGCATATAATGTAACATTTCCAAAATGATTTCCCTCAATATAGCTGAGGACATCTAGCCTTCAAAATTGTAAATTGTGATTCCCAGTACAGCCCTTGTTTTGATGGAAGGGAGCTTACTCTAAAGGACCTCATCAGAATCTAATTCTCTGTATCTTCTCCCTGTTTCTCTACACTGCTGAAACAGAGTCCCATGGAGTCCATCGCATGATGCAGGGCAACTTCTGGTGGGACTCCATGGGGCTGTTTCGGCAGCATGTTAACCAACTCCAAATGGCACAAAACGGGGAAACAACGGACTTCTACAGAGATGGGAGAAGAGGACCTTGAGTGGAGGGAACAGAGTAAGATGGATCACACCAATGTCTCATGCCCTCCCACGCTATCTCTTTGCTCATCTGATGAGGTCCTATGAAACAAACTCCCTTGCCCAATACACAATTATAGTATTACTTTAACAGACATGATTATATCCTATGGGATGCTGAGATTTGTAGTTTAAGGAGTAGTGTTTAGAATTCTCAGCCAGAGAGCTCTAGTGCCTCAACAAGTGCAATGTGCAGCATTCCATGGTTATTCACGTGGTCTTCAATCCATCCAAACTGTCCCAAATGCCCCTTTTATAGGAATTTACATCTTAAATAGGTTGTAGAAACTCCCGTACTGTTGTTGAAAAAATAAAAATGCAGCGATTTTAATTGTTTCATAGCCTCCACAGGGCCCCGCAGGCAGAAAACTATCTCCACCATCAAACCAACTTCAGCTGCCTTCTTTTGCTATAAAGCAATGGCTCTGTAAAACTTTCTCATCAGTCATAAAAAGTTACATCTGTTTTCAACAGAAATCTGTTTCTATCTAATTATAAGAAGACCAAGATGTATCTTTCCAGATGAATTAGCCTCAAATATTTCTGAAATGTTATTGTCAAATTTTTTGTTACCTTTGAAATGAAACTATAGTTTTGAAAGTATTGCAACTATCAGCTTTGAAAAAAATAGTTTGTTATGTTTTTTAAATAATTTATTTCCTCAATTCCATGAAGAAAATAAATGTACCGTATTTAAAACCTGTCACTACAACTGTTGCTTTGGACTTGAGTATGGAAAATATTCAGATTCTGGCTTTTTAGCATTCTGTTTTGTTCCACACTAGAACACTAAGACGAGCCCAAAACATCTTTCTTGGCTGACCTATCTAAATAAGTTTGTTTTTATACATTTTTTCACAAAGTTGAAAGCACCACAAAAGCAAAGCAACAATCCTTTTTTGTTAAAAATATGCACTATTTAACCCAGATATTCAAAATGAAAAGCACATAAAAACATGATGAAAATTATGTAACAGACATAAATTTAATAGACATACTACAAAAAATCAATTCTATACTTATTTATTTCTTACTTAGGAGATCCCTCGTTGTCCGAGTAAGATTGTCCTCCAAGATCAGTGTCCTGGTAGTGGGTACGTAGGTGACTGTGGAGCCCTATTCTTGACCCACATGTTCTCCCGCAGTGAGGGCATCCATTTCCAGGTGGGAGGCGGTCCCAGTTGGGGTTGGCTTGACGTACCTTTCTCTTGGCACGTTTATCTCTTTTGCCTTCTATTTGTGCCTCTTCAAATTCTACAGCATTGCTGGTCACAGCTGATCTCCAGCTAGAGCGCTCAAGGGCCAGGGCTTCCCCGTTCTTGGGGCCTATGCCACAGTTTTTAAGGGTGGCTCTGAGCCCATCTTTAAATCTCTTTTCCTGTCCTCCAACATTCCATTTTCCGTTTTTGAGTTCAGAGTAGAGCAACTGCTTTGGGAGATGGTGATCGGGCATTCGGACAACGTAGCCGGTCCAGCAGAGTAGATGGCGGAGGACCATCACTTCAATGCTGGTGGTCGTTACTTCCTCCAGCATGCTGACATTTGTCCGCCTGTCTTCCCAAGAGATTTTTAGGATTTTTTGGAGGCAACACAGATGGAATCATTCCAGGAGTTGCATGTGACGTCTGTAGACAGTCCACATTTCGCAGGCATACAGCAGGGTTGGGAGGACAATAGCTTTGTAAACAAGCACCTTGGTATCCCTACGGATGTCTCAGTCCTCATACACTCTGAGCTTCTATAACTATCCCAGAAATATGAGATGAAGTCTGCCACTATTCAGAGAATGATGTGATTGTGTTTACACATAAATGGCTGTGTTTAAATTATTTTATAAAGCACAGCCCACTTTCAGCACCCAACAAGCCCTTCTTGAAATATAACTTCTTAGGTTTAAAAATGTATAAGCAATTCTGTATACTGCTTCAAAGTGAAACAAATTATTATTATTATTATTATTATTATTATTACTATTATTATGTATCCCACTTTTTCTCTCCATATGGATACTCAAAGCAGCTCACAATTAAAAGCATTACAACTTAAAATATTAAACAGTATTGAACAAAATTATTATTAAAAACAATTCAGGTTAAAACCATAAATGCAAATAAAAGCACAGAATCCCCTTACTAGATCACAAACACCTTCTTCTTTAAAAGTCTGCCTGAATAAAAAGATTTTAACCTGCTGCCAGAAGGACAGCATGGAGGGGGTCATTCCAGCTTCCCTGGGAAGGGAGTTCCAGAGTCAAGGGACAGCCACTGAGAAAGCCCACTTATTCGTTCCCACCAACTGAGCTTGAGATGGAGGTAGGACCGAGAGAAGGGCCTGGATAGGTTTGTGAAAGGGGATGTGGTCAGCCAAACAGCCTGGACCCAAACCGTGTAGGGCTTTAAAGGTTATAACCACGACTTTGAATTGTGTCCAGTAACAGACTGGCAGCCAGTTGAGATGCTTCAACAGGGTATTGTTCACTCCCTGTAGTCAGCCTCAGTTAGCAGTCTGGCTGCAGCTCTTTGGACCAGCTGAAGTTTCCGAGCACTCTTCAGAGGCAGCTCCATGTAGAGCAGGTTACAGTAATCCAGATGGGATACAACTAAGGCATGCACCACCATGGCCAGATCTGACTTCCCAAGGAGCAGGTGCAGTGGGCACATAAGTTTTAATTGTGCGAAGGCCCTCCTAACCACTTCTGACATCTGGCCCTCCAGGTTCAGTACTGAGTCCAGGAAGATCCCCAAACTGCAAACCTGTGTCTTCAAGGGGAGTGTAACCCCATCCAACATAGGCTGGGTGGGATTACACTCCCCTTAGATCAGGGATCCCTATTTCCTGATCTATCTTCCAACTGACCAGGAGTACCTCCGTCTTGTCTAGATTAAGTTTCAATTTGTTTGCTCTCATCCAGTCCATTACTGATGACAGACACTGTTTTAGGATCAGAACAGATTCCTTGGCATTAGGTGGAAAGGAGTAGTAGAGTTTGGTGTCATCTGCATATAGGTGGCACCAAACTCCAAAACTTTGGATGACCTCTCTCAGTTGTTTCATGTATATGTTAAACAGGGGGACAAAACAGAACCCTAAGGAATCCCACAGGTCAGCGGCTAGGAGTTCGAACAGGAGTCCCTCAGTACCACCTTCTAGGTACAACCCCCCAGGAAGGACCAAAGCCACTGTAAAATAGTCCCTCCCAGTCCCATCCCCGCGAGATGATCCAGAAGGATACTAGGCTCAATGGTATCAAAAGACACTGAGAGATTCAAGAGAACCAACAGGAGCACACTCCCCCTGTCTAGCTCTCTGTGTAGGTCATCCACCAAGATGACAAAAGCTGTCTCTTTCATAGCCAGGCCTGAAACCAGATTGAAATAGACCTAGATAATCCATATTATCCAGAAATCCCTGGAGTTGGAAGGCCAAGACCTTACTCAGGAAGGGGAGGATGGACACTGGCTGATAGTTATCCATTATAGAGGGCTTTTTAAATATAGGCCTCACGACTGCCTCCTTTAGGCAAGTTGGAACTTTGCCTTGTTCCAAGGAAGCACTGACCACCACTTTCACCCACTCTGACAGTGTCCCTCTGGACTGTTTGATCAACCAGGAAAGGCAATGATCTAGAGTACATGTGGTAGCTCTCATCTCTTCAAGGATCCTGTCCATGTCCTCAGGCTGCACAAATTGAAAGGTATCCATCAACACTAGATATGCAGGTGCCAAAGTTACATCCAAGTTGGAACAGATCCGGGGGACTTTATCTGCAAAGTGCCATGCAAATCCATCACAGCAAGCTGCTGGATGGTAAGATATTTCTCCTTGAGGACTAGTAGGTAATAGTCCTCTGGCCACTCGAAACAGCTCAGCTGGATGGTTCTTTGCAGATGCAATGGTGGCAGCAAGAAAAAATAGAATTTGAAATATGCTCTAGCCAATGCTTGGTCAGATTCACTTCGAATTCTGCACCAATGTCATTCTAGTTTCCATCTCACTCACTTCATTGCCACCAACTCCTTGGAAAACCAAGGGGTTGGTGACAATGAAGTGGGTGAAAGCAAAGACATGGTTTAACCCTACTTTCTATGTTATAAAACCTACCGCATTGTGAGCTTCATGGACAAAATTGCTATACATTGAAATAATAACCCAAATACAAGCCATTGTCACTGATACTGGTACAGTGCAATGCTCAGAAGTGATAGACATTGAATTCAATGGGATTTATTCCCATCTAATGGCATGATCAGGTGCCCAGAATTAAGGCAGTCCAGGGAATCTGATAGACTACCAACGACATGCTTTATGGAGGGAGTAGTGATGGACGCTGCTGTAGAACACCCCTTGTTCAGCTGGGAAACTGAGTC